GACAGAAGATTCTTTGTGGGTGGCAAGCTTGCGGAACGCGGTATAAGTGTGGAGGCTTTGCGATGGTCGTGTTCAATCTGAATCAAAAATAGGCGGGTGCTTCGGGTTCAAGAATTGGTAAGGAGTACATGCTCGACTATAAGCATGTGAATGAAGTATTGCAGGGGTAGCAATTGTGGGAGCTTTGGCATACTCGCATGGCAAATTTAAATTATGATACATTCCTAAATACACAGCGCACGATCAAAGATATCCCGATGATGAAGCAAGAAACAGAAGCATTATGTGCTGGATGTCTGACGGAAAGTAGACAGTCATGGCATTCCTCTCACGTTCGATGACAAAGATGATGTATGTGCTGGAATGCGGGCATATAAAGTCATGAAACCCATGCGGACTCCCTCGAAGAGGCGCAAAACATATTCCCACTTATACAAGTGAAGTTTTAAGATTTGTTGCAATTTCCTTGGTTAAGCGCAAGCGTGAAGTAATTGGCATGCTCAAAGAATTCACAACTTTATACGAAGATCAGTAGTGTATTCGTCTTCATTGCTTGATATCCGATTATTGAATAGCATTAGTGAACGAAGCGACGGTCGTCATATGTCTTCATATCGGCATCGTTTGCCAACTTTCTGCTCCATATAGCCCTCAACAATATGCGGTGGTGAAAAGCAAATATGCAGGACTATCATGGAAATGACCTTCGATATGCGTTACATTTATAACATTGGGACTGATTGGTCGGCGGACACAGTAAACACATCAGTTTATTTATTTGATGAATCGAATCTGAAAATGAGGTATTGAAGGATGTACTTTCGCGTGTTTATGCTGCTATTAACGATGCAAAGAGAACAAGCTCAAACCCAGAGGCTTCAACTGCATGTTTATCGGTTATGCAGGGTTTCCGCGTGTTCAACTTGGAAAATATCACGGGGAGAGTGACCCATCCTGTTACGTTGAACGAGCGTGAAGTATGCAACTTTTACGACACGCATGAGCGATTGCACGAAGCAAACGTTGAGTTATAATGTACAAAACCTAGCAGATCGACAGCCACATTTATGAGAAAAGGCAAAGAATCTTTTATACACGTCAAAGGGACGACATTAATCGTACATCAATTGTCAGTCGACAGCAGCCGATGCCTTCTGATTGTTTTTTCAAAAGAAGTTGGAGATAGCAGAGTATTTTAAATCGAGCCTTTGCTAAATATGCGTCAAGAAGATCGTTAAGTATTTTGGCCTGATGTGGAGTGAGCAAGACGAAGATGTGAGCCAATGTTTATGCTATGGAACAGGTGAAAATACAAAGAGGCAACAGAAGAAAGTGATGACCCATCGACACCAAAACGTGCCAGGATTGACGAAGACAAATTCATTGCCCAATCTGTCCTTGCCTACACGATGAAAAGATGGATTTACCGAATTCATGTGCCCGAGCAATGGCATGGGGCGATGCGGCGAAGTGGCGTGAAATTATCGAAGCTGAGCTTTTCTCCCATTAGCAAAAACCCATGGATATTAAATCAAACGGAAACAATCGATTTTCTGGGTCATAATGGGTCTTCGCCAAGAAGCGTGACCGAAATGGCACTGGTGTGCGCTACAAGGCAAGGCTTCTCGCGAAGAAGGTCAAGCAGACTCATACAATCGATTTCGTAAAACGTATTCTCTGTTTGCTAACGTAAATTGAGTCTGAATGAATTTTGAGGAGTGTGCTGAATGCGACTCACAAATGAATCAGCTGGTTGTTATGATTGCTTTTCTGATCAGTTTTTTGTAAACAACGTTTATATTTAGGTGATGACAATGCTAATGGATACGTAAGTCAGCCGAGAAGGGTGGATGTCTACTGTACATATCTAAACTCACTCGACCGGATTTTGCATAAGTGTGTTTGTCACGAGAAGTGCGGACTGCAGCAATGAAATTTAGTTATTCGCGTACTAAGCCACCTAGAGAATTCT